CCTGGAGACCTCCCGGGGCTCGGGCGCCCCTCCCCCACCCCACCTGAAGGGAAGGGAGGCGTCGGGGGGCTCCCCCCGCCCTGTCCTGGAGGACCGGGTCAGGCATTGTTTTCTCGCCTATTGTTCCAGTCCCGCGCCCCCCACCCCAAGTTGAGGGAGTTTGGAGACAGTCGGGGGCAGTGAGCACACTCCCCGCGCCCGGAACCGCCGCTGTCCGGGCTGTTGCGGGAATGTTTACCTACGAGGTGTCCCCTCCTGCCGGGTTATTTTGGTCCCGGCTCCCGGAGGGAGAGGTCAAGGGGGAGTCACCCCCCCTCCCGCTTCCGGATGCTGGGAGGAGCGTATGGGGAAGGGAGGAGAAGGGTCCCAGGGGAGAGGGGACTCCTAAAATCCTCCCGGGAAGCGCTTCGGAAGGGAGAGAGGTTGTGCAAGGGGCCGGGATCGACAGGAGGGAGGTTTGGAGTTTCCCCCGGCAGCACATGGTTCGGGAGTTAACTCCTTGAGGAATCTTGCCGAGGGCGCAGGCTGGCATCTCCCGCCCGCCTGGCACAGCGGCGGCCCCCCTCCTTCCCGGGGCAGCCCTTAAGGCAGGCGCTGTCGGCTCTTGCCGCCGCTCTCCTATAGGTTACCTGTACTGCACCTACCCCCAGCCTTGACTTTTGACCTGCCCTATTATAGTGAGAGGCAGAAGATGAGGTCCTTGGACCCCCAACTTTTCGCCTCTTCCTTTACTGGCCCTTTAAGACACCCCCCCCCCTTAACAACACAAACGTGTTCGCCTATGGTAATGTTGTCCCTCTAGTTTTCTCTATTCTGGGTGATCTCCAGCAGAAACTGGGAAACAGGTCCAGAAAGGAGGGTCTTGTAGACTAGAGTTTAAGGTCAAGTGCTCAGACTTCCTGCCCCTACTTGGAGTGCTCGCTTCTGTGGCTAAAGGCTGTCCTGTGCGCTGTTGGGCATTCTTTGTGGTCCTGCTGGCCAGTTAGTGACCCCCAGACGAAGGAGCAGCCCCCCCTACTGGAACTGGCTGTAGTCCTTTAGAGTCACCCCCTCCCCCGCCCCCTTACTCTGGGAAAAGCCACTGATGACAAATTTGCTCTGTGACTCTCCTCCCCCACCCCCAGCTTGCTATGGCATCGTCCAGGTGCCCACAGGACCCTGGTTCTGCCGGAAATGCGAATCTCAGGAGCGAGCAGCCAGGGTGGTGAGTTGGAGACTCCCCTCCCCCTGCCCACCCATACACCTGAGCATCTCCCCTGATTACGCTAGAGACTGGGGTGGGACTGTCACACCGGACTTCCTGTTTCCTGCACACCTATCGCCTACCCCATCTCGCCCTCAGCTCATTACTCACTCTGGCCCGCCTCAGGCAGGGGGCCTTTTATTTTTGTTTGCTTGCTTGTCTGAACTTTTTATTATGGAAAGTTTCCAACCTGTACCAAAGCATCAGGAATAGTGTAAGGAACCCTATGTTCCCAACACCCACTGTCAACAGTTACGGGCTCGTGGCCAATCCTGTTTGCTCTAGACCCCAACTCATTCCCCCCTAGACAGCTGATCATTTCCTGGGCGGGGGGGGGGGGGAGGGGAGGCCCTCTGCGCTTGGAGGCAGGTCAGCAGGTCCCCACCCCTTTTGAAAAGGCCCTCCTCAATCCCTGTGCCTCCTTGCATTGGCAGAGGTGTGAGCTGTGCCCACACAAAGACGGGGCATTGAAGAGGACTGACAATGGAGGTGAGGGGGGGACCCTGAGCTCCAGGGCTCATCTGCTGAGGTCAGCAAGGCCCCCTGAGCAGGGTCTCGGAAGGCAGGGGGACAGACATGTGTGTCTGTGTATGGGGGGTGCTGGATTTCCCTTTCCTGGCTGGCACTGGAATCTGATGGGAAGGCCATGGAGGAGGGGACTGCCTGCAGTGAGGGGCTGTGAGGGGTCCTGTCTCGGGCTTGCCTGAGGCCTGCCCCCAACTGCCCCAGGTTGGGCCCACGTGGTGTGTGCCCTCTACATCCCTGAGGTGCAGTTTGCCAACGTGCTCACCATGGAGCCCATCGTGCTGCAGTATGTGCCTCATGATCGCTTCAACAAGGTCAGCGCCCCTGCCATGCCCTCCTGCTAGTCCCCTCCCTAGCTGGGTCCCTCCACCTCTCTCTTCATCCCCTGTAACTTGATTCTGTCCAGCAGACACTTTCAGGGAACTCAGGAAGTGAGTAGGCACCTTTCAGTCATACTCTGGAATTCAAGCCCTGCCAGGGGGTAGACCTTAGCAAGGAGTCACTGAGCGCTGACTGGGTGTCAAATCCAGGGCAAGGTACCACCAGGCACGCAGTGTTCAGTACCGATCAAAACAGATGCACCCCCTCCCCCACAAAACCCACACTCATGTGGGAAGACTGTAAACATCAGTAAACAGGCAAATAACGTAAATGCAGTTTGTGATAAGTGCTGTGAAGAGAACAAGGCACTGAAATAATACCTCATCGGGGCTTTCTTTAATGAAGTGGTAAAGGACAGAGACATTGAGGCTAAGACAGGAGGCAGCCTGGCGGGGGTGGGGGTGTTCCAGGTTCAGGTCAGAGGCGAGAATAAGCTCACCAGTGAGCAAGGCAAGACGCAGGCCCCAAGGACTGTGCTCAGCCACATGGCTATGCACGTTAAATTAAGTCCTATTTAAAGTTCAGGTCCTCGGCCACTTTTCAAGTGCCCATGTGGTTCATGGCTACTGTATCGGACAGTGCAGCATAGAACATTTCCATCATCACAGAAAGTTCTGCCGGATAGCACTAACCTAGGGTACCGGGGAAAGGATGGAATTGAGGGGTCCCGTAGGTGGGAGGGAGAGGGGACGAGTGCGCTGTGTCCTGCAGACATGTTACATCTGCGAGGAGCAGGGCCGCGAGAGCAAGGCGGCCTCGGGAGCCTGCATGACCTGTAACCGCCATGGATGTCGACAAGCATTCCATGTCACCTGGTGAGACCCCTCCCTGCCCCTCGCCTCCCACTCCGGGGTTCTCTGGGATCCCTGGCCAGCTGTAGCAACCCCCTCTGAGGTTTGCCATGGATGGCCACCCAATGGGCTGGTCCTAGCTGCTGTCTTTTTGGTGATCATGGCAGTGCTTCCCTTGGATGGCCTTGGCTTTGCCCCAGTGGGGGTCCAGGAGGGTAGAAGGTCAGAGGCTGGTCTGGTTTGTGGCCACACCCTTCTCAGGCTGACCTCTCTCGGTTAGCGCCCAAATGGCAGGCCTGCTGTGTGAGGAAGAGGTGCTGGAGGTTGACAATGTCAAGTACTGCGGCTACTGCAAATACCACTTCAGCAAGATGGTGAGTCTCATCTGCCAGGGCATGAATGGGTCAATCAGCCACGGTTTAGAGGGTGTGGGCGCTGGGCCAAGCTGGTGCCTGCTGCTGAGAAGGCAGAGATGGAAGGAACCCGTCCCTGCCCTTGAGGAACTCTTCATTGAAGGAAGAGTAAATTGAAGTAGAGCCTGAGGGGTGTGAATCAGAGTTAAAACCTAGCAGTCTGGAAGACAGAGCTCTCCTGTTAGTCTGGGAGGCTTCAAAGAAGAGGTGGCATAGAAGCTAACGGAGGCGGGAACAATAAGAGCCGACATGTGGGGGTGGGGGCTTACTGCGCCCCGGCCTCTGTACTAAGTTCTTTACATGTATTATTATTATTAATTTTTTAAAATATATTTTATTGATTTTTACAGAGGAAGGGAGAGGGATAGAGAGTTAGAAACATCGATGAGAGAGAAACATCGACCAGCTGCCTCCTGCACACCCCCTAATGGGGATGTGCCCGCAACCAAGGTACATGCCCTTGACCGGAATTGAACCTGGGACCCTTGAGTCCGCAGGCCGATGCTCTATCTGCTGAGCCAAACTGGTTAGGGCTACATGTATTATTTTGTATGATACTTCCAACGACCCTAAGAACTAGATGTACTGTATTTTCCCATTTTACAGATGAGTAAACTAAGGCCCACCGAGGTTATGTAACTTACCTTACAGCATGTATGGGGTCAAATAGACAGTCTGATTTGAAACTGGCATGGGCCATGTCCTGAGAGGAGAAAGAAGTTTGTGAGCAGCAGAACAGGGAGTTTGGTGGGGACAGAGCAGGAGATGAGGCACACAAAAAAAAATCTGAGGCAGGGCCAGAGCTGGGCTTCAGGGAGCCACGGAGAGGCTAGAGAAAGGGTACTATCTCATGTTTGTTGGAAAGACCTGTGTGTTCCAGAAGCTGTGGGTGTCCTGGAGAGGTAGGCTGTGGCCAGACTAGAATTGCAGCTTGGACCTCACCCCCAGGCCACAGGCTTGTAAGGCTGCTTGTACGCGGGAGGGTAACATGATCAGATTTGTTTGTTAGGGAAGATTACTCTGGCAGGCACGGGGAAGCTGGATCCAAAGCTCTGAGGCTGGCGGCTAGGAGACAGCTGCACAAGGGGCGGGGGGGGGGGGGCGTGGAGGGCTGGGGCTGGACTCCAGAACATTTCTAGGTAGACTTGCCTCTGTGTGGGGGCAGCTGAGGAGGAGTGGAGGGTGGCAGTTAAGACCCAGGCTCTCGGTGCTGGGTGGATGGGCTTGAGCACCTGGGGATGTTATGAACAGGCTTGTGTAGGGTTAGCACCTGCCCCAGTCTACCCCAGACAGTCCCAGTGTGTGCCTATTGCCCTGGTGTAATCATTAATAGTTCCCACTTTAAATTTCAACCGTGTCCTGATTTGGATCATAAGTTACATGGTCACCTTGGTTTCAGGGTTTGATGATGACTTAGGACAAGGTAGGGAGGTCGGTTTGGTTTAGAGGAGGTGCCAAGTGGGAATGTTTAGGTTTGGTGGCTGTCCGACACCCCCGGCAGGGTGGTAGTGCCAATCCCAGGTGTATAAGGCTGGGGCTGGGATCCCCAGGTGCCTATCAGGGTCGGGAGGGTCAAGGTGTGAAGGGAACCAGGAATGGGAGAGTCTTAAGAGCTTGGCATGGTAGTAAGATCGGTGCCCGGGGGAGCGATTGGGTCAGACGAGGTCTGAATGAGTCCTTGGGTTTGGCAATTGGGAGGCAGTGGGTGACCTTAGAGGGAGCAGCTGCAAGTCAGGGACAGGCGAAGCCATCTCACTGGGCCTGGGACGTCTGTTAGCAGCGAAGGAAGGAGCAGGCCCTGGCTGGGGGAGAGGCAGCGTGAGGGTTATTTGGGCTTTTGCTGTAGATGCTGACTTCCCCCTTCTTCAGGGTAGCAGCTCTGGGACAGAAGGAACCACTGTGTTTGGTGGAGGGGGAAGGGCTAGGAACAAGGGAGAAGGGAGAAGAGCTGATGGCCGGGGTGAAGTGTCTGGAGGGAAAGATGGGGTGTGGAGTGTAGAGGAGCAGGGGTTCCCACAAGGGTCCCCCATACATCCTCTACCCCAGGAAAGGAGGCTGAGATGGGCCAAGAGGACACTGGAAAGAGGTGGGTGGAGAGCAAGGGCCTGGGCCCCAGTCCTACCTCCAGCATGCCTTGCTGTAGCCTGGCCACTTCTGGGCCTCCGTTGTTAGATCTGTGCACTGGACACGCTGGGGAAGCTCTAAGGCAGCGGTTCTCAACCTGTGGGCCGCGACCCCTTTGGGGGTCGAACGACCCTTTCACAGGGGTCACCTAAGACCATCGGAAAACACATATATAATTATATATTGTTTTTGTGATTAGTCACTATGCTTTAATTATGTTCAGTTTTTAACAATGAAATTGGGGGTCACCACAACGAGGAACTGTATTAAAGGGTCGCTGCATTAGGAAGGTTGAGAACAACTTGTCTA